TTTTTTTTGTTTTTACTAACTCAGGCGAATCCCCCTCCCATTTCAACCACATATATTCAATTTGTCTGATGCCGTTGGTTATTGAAAAATATGAAATCTCATTGTACATGTAAAAGATTGTCCCTTTGGAGGATATTGAGAATTCATCAGCTGTTTCAAAGCATCTCAAACGGGAGCTCTGAGGCATGTTTGAGGAAATGTTATGTCACACTGTGTCTATCTGAAAGCTCATGAAATAGCTCTAGTCCACTAGTTTTTTAAGGGCATCCTTACAAAGATTGTCCCATTTCTCCAGATTCCCTTGAACAAGCCATTTGACAATTGAAGACCTAAGTGTCTCAAAATCATCACTGTCAAGGCCAGATCTTATTTGTAAAAGATTTGGGTTAAAACATAAAAGAAATTGGTCTGGAAGGGACTGTTTCAGGTATCAAGTGTAAGTGGAGTTTGTGTTTCGGTGACCTCATGGCAGAGAAATGATTGTGGTTCCTTTCATCTCACAGCCTCACTTAATCTAAACCAATTTAGTCAGCAATACCCCCTAAATAGTTTGTGGTTATTATTTTCCATCCTCCAGTGGTTTTTCTCCCATCCACTTCTCCTACTGACTTCCCTTTCTCTCTGCGCAGAAGGCGGCTGCAATAAGTGAGGGCAGCTGCGTGAAAGGAGAGCGCGGGACGTTAGGTTCTAACCCCAGGCTGCTCTTTCTTAGCTCTAGTGTTACCACTATATCAGGAGATGTGGGCGTTGTCACAGGCTTATGGGAAATGCGGATCCAGACCCCAATACACCCAGGGGACTCGTGTGGAATATTAGGCTGAAAAAGATTCCTATATTAATTTGGCAATAATTTATAGATTGACTTTAAAGCATATTGTAAACTTAAAATGGATAGGTCCGAAATTCTTGGAGCAATTTATTTGAAATGTTCTCAGAGATTGTAAACCACTTTTTATTTTTCTGAAAAAGAATGTGCACAATGAAATATTGGAGCAGCTAGATACAATAGGTGGGGTCATTCAGATGTTATCTGAATGCCATGCAGGTTCCGTGAAGTCCTGAGTGAGAGGGCATGTGACTTTGCTCCATAGTTTTTCTTGTATTTGAGTCTTAGGGAGGAAACGCAAACAAACAAAGATCAGCAAACCCTCTGTCATGCCAACTACAACATGGCACTGTTTCCTACCAGAGAATAAATGGCTCTATAGGACAATGTCTGCGTTCCTGAGGGGCTGGCTTTACCGTTGGAAAATGCCGTATTTAGTTGAAATGTAGAAAGGTGAATAAAAAACTACTTCTAATATATGCTAGAATTGTAAGCATTAAACATATTGAAGCAATCTGTTAGAAGGAGAGCAAAGTAGCTGGATTCATTCCCTGCCTCATCCACGTCTCCCTGCACTATTATTTTTCTCTTCCCGATAGCTGCCCAGGTATCGCTACCTCCCCCTCCGTTGAACGGAGATTTGGTAAGGTGATTTCTATGTTGATGCTATTTCATATTTAGATATTTGTCTCCACAGATGAAACTGAAGGGACAGGAGGCTTTCTTTGTGGGGGAAAGGACATTGAGTCTAGAGGAAGAGTGTGAGAAGGCCATGGGATGGGCCTGAGCTCTGGTGATGGGAATTATGGTGACGAGAGGGAGGGGTGGTAATATGGAAGGGTGCTGATGAGAGAGGCATAAAAATAATAAATGGACTTATGCTGGCATTAAAAGTAATGCTTGCTAGTTGTAAGTGTAATCTGGCCTTGATAATTGAATAACTCCCAAGTTAATCACGGACTTAACTGAGCCTGCACCCTCTTCCCTAGCAGTTTAGTAAGCAAAGGAATGACGTATACTATGAACTTTCTGTCATTTTGGAGGGTACGAATGAAATAAGTTGCACATTCACCATAGAAATGCGCTCTCCATGGGTATCCCTCTGTGGCTATGCCAGTGCTCCTTACTTTATGTCAAAGGGAAGCTCGTTAACACGAGTCCTTAGCATTCATTCGGTAAGGACTACAGTCCCTTCACGGGATGTCTAGTATTTCAAGATGTGGAGCTTTGGAAATGCTTTGTAAAACCACATTTGCACCCTTAGATTGATGTAGAGGAAAAAATGGCAATTTTCTCTGTAGAAATTAATTGTTTTATTTGTACTTCATTAGCCTTTAAAGGGATTATAGCTATAGATCTCTGCAGAAACTCTTCTTTAATTGATGCTATAGACCTGATGCTAAAAACACAACTTGCTTTATGTTTTTTCTTTAATTCTTATCCCTTTGACTTTTGCAAACTCAACACCCTATATTGCCTATAGTGTATAATATAATAATATAATATAATATATTATATTATATTATAAAGGCTTATAATAATATAAGCTCTTGCAGTGTTAAACTTTCCAAGGCTTTTGATCTTTGAAGATTTCCCTTCTGTTTTCAGACATTTTCAAAGCTGACTTCATAGATACTTATTAAGAGAGGCAGAATAAAGTTGTAGCCATATGTAAAATTAAAAGATTTTTATACTTTGGATTTTTTTTCCCTTTCTCGTCTGGAATTTACTACTACGTAAACCAGGCTGTTCTTTAACTGACAGAGATCCACCTGCCTCTGCCTCTGAAGTGGTAGTATTAAAGGAGTGCTGCACCACCACAGTTTTATCCTAACATTTGATATTGACTTAGTTGAACTTGCATTCATCCACCTTAGGAATTTGTTATACAGAGAATTGAAGTGTACTCAGCCTGCAATTCTTATGGTCTTGAAACATTACATATTTTTAATTAAAAAATGAAAACTTGATACATACTAAGGATATAGTCATGTTATGTATACAAAGCTTCATGAAAACAAAAGCACATTGCAAACTGACCTTCAAACCCAGAGCTGGATCCTGCCCAGCCTGTCCACTCAGGAACTACAAGCAGCCCCCACTGTGATGCTGGCACAGCTGCTGATTTTGGGCTTTAGAGTAATGCGAAGATGATACACATTTAGTGAAAGCCATACCTTACCTTTTTATTTTTCCTAGTTTTAGTGATACTTGAAAAATCCATTTACAATGCTGGGCCACAGCAGTGAACTCAAACTGAGTCAGTCAAGCTGTCTCCGGAGTAAACATCTGTTAGACTCAATGTCCTGGGCTGCTAAGCTGTGCTTCTTTCTGGGTTAGGTGTACTGTACGACATTCTGACTCACAATGTCAGCTTACATTGTGCACATAACACCATCGGAAGTCCAGGGAAACGGTGCCTCGTTTTCACATGCTCCTTTCCTTCGGTCTAATTGTTTTGCTGTGTATATGCATATGGATGCCTAAATGTATAGTTCACTTTTATACATTTCTGAATTAAAAAAAAATACTCATTTTGCGAGATAATTTTGTCACGCAATATTATAAGATTTATCCATGTGATTTTATATTCTAATTTTCCACTTCTTTATAAATTTTACTTTGAGGAGATGTCTCAATCAATCATTTACTTTATGATGAGCATTGGGTTGTTCCTAACACGTTGCATTGCTGGCTTATGTGGTTATGAACACTGTTGAGTTTCAGGAAGTGCAGGGTTTAACTACAAGGTGTACTGAAGTGCAGAAAGAGCCGCTTGTAGCAGAAACACTTGACCAGTTTTCTGGGAATCAGAACTGTGCTTGGAGTACTTACAGCTATTTGGCCATTTATCCTTGTCATTGCTCTGGCAGACTTTATTATTTTATTGTAAATGGTCTTAGATCATGATGCTCTTTAGCATCTGCCACACTACATGTTGGGGATATTTCCCAGTCTTGTCAGTTCTATGTATTTCTTTAATTATGAAAGTCTTGTTCAGATTTTGCTATTATTTTTCTTTGGTTATCATGTACATTCTTTTTATTTGTGAACCTCTTTCCTGGGTACTGTTTACCTGCCTCCATGTTGTAAACTCAAGTTACCTCAGTCTGTACTTTGTAATATTGGTTTTTTTTTTTTTGAAGTGTACCTGAAAATGTAATGAGCTGTGTATGTGTGAGGTGCATAATTTAATATCTGCCTATTTGTATACATTACTAGCATAGCTAGACAAAGAATATCCACTCAGATTGAAGGGTTCCCCTCAGCTCCCATTCATCCTAAATCTGACAATGAATTTATAAAAAACATTTCGGGATCATTTCAAGGTGTGACAGTTGTTATGCAATGCTCGTAGAGAAGCTGGGGGCATGTCTACTTTGGAGTAGTTTTATACTTAGAAAAAGTTACATAGACAGGCCAGAGACTTACCATAGATCCGCTTTCTGTTTCCCCAATCGCCAACACCTTCCAACAGTGTTGTCATGAGTTAGTTGTCTTATTTTTCTAAAATTTTTGCAGGTTGTAGCTCAGGCTTTCTGTGTTACAGGAGTTTAAGGGCATAGCACGCTGCGTGGCTTCGTCACGTCTCTCTCTCCTCATGCTTTTCTAGGCCACGACAGTTTCTCTGAGCTTTTGACTCATACTTTAGGTTTTATCTTCCCCACTATGAATTACTACAAATAAAATAAATACTGGTGCTTTTGGTTTACCTAGTTTGTCCTTCCCAAAGTTCACCTTTTTATATTTCCTCAATTTTGCTTTGTTTTTCTCCCAGATGTGAGATGCATAAAATATTGTATGTATTCCTTTCATACTAGATTCTTTCACTTGTCAATATGCTTGTCTGAAATTCATCCATGTTTTCATAACTCATTATCTCTTATGTTCCAATGATATCCTTATTTATGAGCGTCTTATTCTTTTGCTGTTCAACTATTGAACATCTTGTTTGCTTCCTGTGTCCACGAATATGAAGTTGCTGTATTTATTCTGATGCTGTTAAAAAGTGAGTTCCCAGATTTTCTGTTCTGATTGCTTTAGTTTAGAATACAATTATTCATTTATTTTAACTAGCTACATTTTCATATGTATGCTACACGTACATACACATGCAAGCTATTTATGAGGTGCTGTATGACATTTTGATTCTTTCCTGACATTTTCTTTACAGATATTCAAGAATTTTATGAGGTGACATTATTAAATTCTCATAAAAGCCGTGAGCAGAAGATAGAAGAAGCCAACCAAGTTGCACAGAAATGGGAGAAGACTCTCGTTCATGATCCATGCCGTGATGGTCTGCAAACATCTGCAGAGGTATGCTGCGTAAACCCCTCTGAGGCCGGGGAGATGGAGACTCATGTTTGTAAAGGCTCAGGGCCGTCATTACAGTAGTGTAGCCATTGTTCCTGTCGAATGGCAGCGGTAATATGCTTGCAGTCTTAATCCAGTGAAATCTGGATTTTTCTAAGAGACAATTTAGATATGAGAAAGGCACGGCTTGCATAGTTGTAGATATGGTTTTTCACATCTGTTAGGACTGTTTGCTTAATTTGAAGTGGTGCAGGTTTGAACATTCACATGACCAACCAAGAAAATAATCCTCCTCCAGAGACACTCTTGGTTTCAAGATGTGGTAGGAATTGGAGCTGACCAATGGGAAAATAGAGTGTGCTAAGTCTGTGATTTTCACAGCAGAAAAACCTATCCCAGAGTATGGATGATATGAGTCTTTAGCATGTAGAAGCAAAATACTAGAAGTACTAGTTCTATTTCTTTCTGTCTTTGAATTATTTAAATTAAGTTTTTAATAACTATTTTTTATGTAGGTAAGTCTAGCACACATATATTAGTGGCAATGCATATGTATTTAAAATATAACCCACACACTCAAAACAATGTTAAAAGTTAGGATTCAGTGAACAACAATTTGGAGACCATAGAGTTTATAGTTACCAAAGGGAAACACAAATCAATGTTGTGTTTTGTGTTTATAGCTGAAGACAACTATGGAGCCACAGGCAGAGCAATGATGCTTCCATGTATCTGAGGAGCTAGTAGAATCTGAAGGCTATTGTAAGGGGGAAAGTTGTTCTTCAGGGGTGTGGCTTCTGGTATGTTGCTCATGCTCCATTGGATAGCGTCATACACATGCATATAGGTTCCACACTCATCGGATGCAGTGGTTTATTAAACAAAACAAAAAGGAAAACATGATGTGTTGTGGGTTGTGATCCAGAATGTGTTTGACGGAAGAGTAAGATGTACGTACGATCGAAATACGTCACATACATTTATGAAATTCTTAAAAGTAAACACAATGCACACATGCATACAGTCACTATTTTGAAGGGATGAGGGATTAAAACTCGCACTCCATTTCTCATCTTTGGTGCTTTATAGCTTATAGCATATCTTGGACGCTGTAAGAATTCTGTTGCCAATCAATGGCATGGACCTTGGTTACTGAACTTTTTATTTGTTAAATTAAAGTTTCTTGTATACTTTCTGTATTACTTAGAATTGATTTGGAAATGGGATAGGATGGAGTCTGATGATCGTCTTAGTTACTCTGAGAAAAAAATAACAAGGACAATAATTTCCAAATCGGAAGATACCCAGCACTTGAATCACAAAAATGGATGGCACTCTAGTTTCAAAAGCTAGAAATAATGATTTTTGACTTTTACAACCTTTTTCTATACGGACATATTTATTTCGTAAAATTCATATGTGAGTCTTTATTTATATAATGAACCCTAACAATATAACATATATGATATAGAGAAGTAGATTACATTTCTTTTATATTTTTATTCATTTTCTTTTAAGATTAGATTACATTATGTTGGAAATGTGGAAATAAACAAGAATAGGGTAAAATATTATGAGGAAGATTGGAGGCTGAGCAAAAGGACATATAGGACATAAAAGAGAATAAGAGGCTAGTGACAGTTAACAAGGAAGTCTATGTAGTGGCAGAACGGTGACTGGGGACATTGAGTATGGAAGAGAACCTTTGAAATGCACTGTGCTCAGTTGGAAAGACAGGTTTATGTTTCATAGGGACAATAGCTTATAGGGCGTTTTCAGTATTTTTTAAGATTTACATATTTATCTCATGTGCTTTGGTGTGTTTGCCTTCATGAATGTCTGTGTGAGGGTGTTCGATCCCCTGGAATTGGAGTTACAGACAGTTGTCAGCTGCCATGCAGGTGCTGGGAACTGAACCCTGGTCCTTTGGAAGAACAGCTGGTGCTCTTAACCTCTGAAGCACCTCTCCAACCCCATTGTAGGGCAATTTTATGTCCTGTATTTTAAAACTGTTTCTAAAACTTAAGTAGTTTATGAGTCAGTATTTAGGTCATCTCAAAATTTCTTTCATGAGTACCATTGTGGTTGAGATTCCCATGTAAATATATAGCTGCATGAATACTCTAATTTACATTAGGTAGATTTTATGAGACATATTGTGGAATCTAAGAATATTGATAATTTAAGAATCGTAGATTGGCAAAGTGTTTGCAGGTAGGTCTTACCATCAAACCTACCTTTGAATCTTTCTTTTCTGTTTATCTGCCTGTGTTCAGACTAGCTTATCATAAATTATTTAAGTTAATTTGTAAAATTGATAGAGGCCATTGTTTGCTTAATGCCTTTATAGGGCAATTATTTGTTCACGATTGGGACTCAACTATTAGCTATCTCTCTTGTGATTCAGTAAAACTATTTACTGTTAGATGGTGTTATAATCTGTATTATTTCATAATAGTGACTTTAATAAAGCAAGCATCCTGTCAGAATTATTGCATTTATAACTTTGTTGATCAAGATTTCCCTTATGGTGTTATTTAGCATTCAATATATATACATACACATATATAATTGCTATATATATATGTATTAATTTTATGTGCTAGAGTCTATGCCCTTTACATTTTCTCAAGACAGGGTTGTGTAGTTCGATTTGGCATCACCCTGACTTTATTGTTGACAATGACAGCTTCTGACCTCAGCTTCCATGGACCTGGGACTGAACATGCATCCTTATGTGGTTTCTGTGGTGCTGGAACCAAACCTATGGTTGGCGCATGCTAGGCAAACATGCTCCTAGCTGTGGTACCTAACAGTTGCTACTCCATTTTGCTTTTTATTCTTCTCCTTTTATTTTTTCTTTGCTTTATTGTTGTTTAGCTCTCAAATTAGTTAAGCTCTCTCCTATACTTTACCAGCCCTTTATAGACTTGGAATTTGGCCTTTGTAAAATTTCAGAAACTTATGTTTATTCAATTTCTAGATGCACAGTGTCATATACATATGTAATTTTGCATAATTTCATGTGTATGTTTGTCCTAATTCAATTCTTGGAAATTTTCAATTTTTCATTTCTCTCTCACTTTCGGCCTATACTATATTAGCTTATTGACATATAAGATAACCCTGGTTAATAACTTATTACGCTTTTGCCTATACTCATATGATATGCATTCATATAAAACTATAAACGTATGTGTAGGTTCTAAATGTAAAGCCACACTAGGTATATATGTACACATATAAGAAGTTTTGAGATGTGGCTATTTTTTGAAATGTTCCTAGTTTTTTCTCAAGTTGCCTGGTAGTTTTAGTTCTTCTGATGACTGTGTAATTTCATAGCGTAGGTGTATAATAACATGCTCAGCCGTTCCCGGCAGTGTGGATTTTCCGTTCCCAGGGTCCTTCCTGCATGAGCAATGCTGCCATCATCTTTATACGTGCATCGGCGTTGCCTGGGGCTTTTGTTCTATAGAATAAACTCTCAGGGGTGGATTTCTTGGCTTGGATATATGCATGATTTCAGTTTGAATAAGGCTTTTGAAAACAATGTCACTTGTCACATCCCTGCCACAGTGCATAGAGACATGGCTCTCACCTCAGAGTGCTCCGGCACCTCTGAATTTCTGCCAGTTTCGTAGGTGTTTTGATAACCAGCTTCACTTCATTTTTGGACTGCAGACTCCTGGTGAACTGGAGCCCCGTTTCAGAAGTCTGTTGACTGAGAATGTGCCTGTCTGCCAGCTTCCTCATAGTCCACATCTTCTTCTCTAGCTGGACTCCTTTGTTTGCCATTTAACATGGCCATTTTGTATATTTAAATTATCCATTTTGTATACAGACTTTCTTAAGGAAAATGATTTCCATGAATTATACACATGTAGTACCTTTGCTTTATTTTATCAATATCTTTTCTTCAGATTTATTGCTTAGGAAAAAAACTCTTTTTTTTAAATATAATTTTTTATTGAAAAAAAATTTCTGCCTCCTCCCCGCCTCCCATTTCCCTCCCCGTCTCCCTTT